AGATTATTGATTAGAACATTAAAACTTATGGCCTAGGGATTATTTCAATTAGATAACCATGGTTAAAAATTCTACCTAGGGGCTGGGGATGTGGCTCAAGTGGTAACAAGCTCGCCTGGCATGCGTGCGGCCCAGATTGGATCCTCAGCACCACATATAAACAAAGATGTTGTGTCCGCCGAAAACTAAAAAATAAATATTAAAAAAAAAAATTCTCTCTCTCTTTTAAAAAAAAAAAAAAGAGAAGAATGCCTGAAGAAAGGGTGGTCACTACTAAAAAAAAAAAAAAAATTCTACCTAGTCTCTTAAATAATAATTTTATTTATTCACCATATTATAATGTAGAATTTTAACATCATTTATATTCTTTTTTCTTCCTAAATTTTTTTAGATGTTGATGGACCTTTATTTTATTCATTTATTTATATGCAGTGCTTCACAAATCAAACCCAGTGCCTCACACATACTAAGCAAGTGCTCTACCACTGAGCTACCCCAGCCCCATCTATATTCTTTAGGTTAAAAAAACAAGATTTTTATTTGAGTATATGGTACAGGGCTTTAAATCCAGGGGTGTTCTACCACTAAGCTATACCTCTAGTCTTTTTATTTTTTATTTTGAGGCACATGCTCACTAAATAGTCCAGGTTGGCCTTGGACTTAAGATGCTCCTGCTACAGACTCCAGAGAAGTTGGTAAAGAAATAAGTATTAAAATATTATCAATCAATCCTTGAATGTGTTTTCTTTTTGCCTTTTCAACAAAGGCTTTTTTGGGCTGGGTATATAGCTTAGTTGGTGGAGTGCTTGCCTCACATGCACAAGGCCCTAGGTTCAATTCCCAGCAAAAAAAAAAAAAAGTAATCTCAACAAAGGCTTTCAAATTAGATTTAGCCTACAAAGAGTTTTTTAAAATATTTTTTAGGGGCTGGGGTTGTAGCTTATGGTGGATCATTTGCCCAGCACGTGCGGGGCACTGGGTTTAATCCTTAGCTCCACCTAAAAATAAACAAAATAAATGTGTTGTGTCCATCTACTACTAAAAAATATATATTTTAGGAATACTTATAGAAATCCACATTTTCTTGGTATATTTTAATGATTCAGACTTGCTATAATTGGTTTTAATGGCCATCAGAAAAACTAGATTACAAGAGGCATTATTTGGCCGAGCAGAGTGGCACACACCTGTAATCCCAGAGGCTTGGGAGGCTGAGACAGGAGAATCACAAGTTCAAAGCCAGCCTCAGCAACTGTGAGGCACTAAGCAACTCAGTGTCTCTAAATAAAATACAAAATAGGGCTGGGATGTGGCTTAGTGGTTGAGTACCCCTGAGTTCAATCCTAGGTACCAAAAAAAAAAAAAAAGAAAAAGAAAAATGGCATTATTTGGCAAAAGAAAGACAGCATGAATAGTCATTGTAAGTGGACCAATGTGATAGTTTCTTTTTAAAGGTGTTTATGATATTCTTTCAGTCCTATAAAATTTGGTTTTGCAATTGTTAAACTAAAGAGGAACTAAGAAAGCACAGTGGAATAATTCACAAATACATTTGAACTCATATGAAATTTCATTTTCTCCATGAGAGTCTAACATTATGTTAAAACATGTAACTCCCACCTACAACTTAGCTTTGGTAGTTCACACTTTCTTATACCCACTTATTACTCCAAAGAAATTAAGAGTCTCTCAAATGTAACTTTCACACTGGTTGTTCTTGCACAGCTCTCGGTCTAGAATACCCAAGAATTGGTTCTCTCCCCTTTTAACTCAATGGCCCTTCATCCTAGCCCAGTTAGGTGTTTCTTCTTTATACTTCCTTCTGAATATCTGCACCACAGAATCTTTCATTAGAAATTTTACAAATTAGCTTTCTCATTTCTCATTTCTCCCAAAACCAGAAATGAAATTATGTTCATTAAAATGGTTTTTAATTAATTTTTAATATTTTTTAGTTGTTGATAGACCTTCATTTTTTTTTAAGACCTTCATTTTATATATGCGAGGCAAATGCGCTACTGCTGAGCCACAGCCTCAGCCCTAATTTTTAAATTTTTGGATTTTCCAGCACATAGTCTAGCACACTATAGTCCAACAAAAAGATACTCGTTGAGTTAATGGAAGCCGATTATTTCAGAATGTACAATCACCCAGTAAAATTCAAGTTTTATCTTTTACAAATAGAGAAACTAAGGCAGTAAGGAGTTTGCCCAATAGCACCATTAACAAAGACTAACAGTGAAAAAAATGTGAAATCCTTCAATTGGACTGACTTCCAAGCTATATTCTATAGAGTAGAACAAATGAGAGCATCTAAATCATAAAAAATAAAGTCTTCAAACACAAACATCAAGTTTCCTATTTTGTACCTCAGATAATTTAGCTTTTTTTAATTTAAGGATTCAAAACCATTAAGGAGGCTTCATATACCATGAAATTCTGGCAAAGCCAAAAACTGACTTAAAGAATCCACTATTGGGCTGGGATTGTGGCTCAGCAGTAGAGCACTCGCCTATCAGGTGCGAGGCTCTGGGTTCGATCCTCAGCACCACATAAAGATAAATAAATAAAATAAAGGTATTGTATCCAACTACAACTAAAAAATAAAATAAATTAAATAAATAAATAAATAAAAGAATCCAGGGGCTGGGGTTATAGCTCAGCAGTAGAGTGTTTGCCTCCCACTTACGAGATACTGGGTTCGATCCTCAGCACCCCTTAAAAAATAAATAAACAAATTAAATAAAGATATTGGGTCCATCTTTTTAAAAATCTTAAAAAAATAATCCACTATTAAAGGAGATACACAGGAAAGTTTTATTTTACCTATGAAAACCCTCATGTGTAGTTGCCCAGGTCAGAGTTGGATAATTCTCTAATATAGAAACTAGATGTGTCTTTTTCAAATTAGAAACAAAAAAAGAACATGATGCCACCAAGTTTTAACCACTTGAGATGACTCATCTTAAAAAATATTTATTTATTTATGGTACTAATGATTGAACTCAGGGGTGCTCTACCACCCAGCCCTTTTTACTTTTTATTTTGAGAGTCTTGCTCAGCTACCCAGGCTGTCCTTGAACTTGTGATCCTCCGCCCTCAAACTCCCAAATCATTGGGATTACAGGCATGGGCCACCACACCTGGCACAAATTTGTTCTTGAGTATCTTATACTTGACTCAAAGCTATGGGGCCTTCCAACTCACCAGTTCATGCTCCATCTTCATGCCTAGGCAGCCATTTTGTAGTGGAGGCAAAATCAGTTCAAAGGTTAAAGTAAGCAGGGGCTAGTTCTCTATGCAAAGAACCACCAATCTACCACCAGATATTTTTTCACTGCCCAGTTTCTATTAATATAAGTGTAGAGAAGGAGAAACTCATTACTAATTATAATTAAAGTTAATTTAAAGAAGCAGTGATAGGAAAAAAGGAAGCAAATAACTTCTGGTAATATTTAGTAATTCCCTAAGGTATGCTATTTTTCTCTGGAACAGATCAAAAACCTTCAGAGAAATAATATTCCTATGAAACAAAGATAAGATTGGCCATATATATATATATATATATATATGGAAAAACTAATGCTAAATTGAATCTACATTTAAAATTAAGACACAGAAGTTTGCCTCTCACGCAAAGCCAAGCATAAGGCAGCAAGCTGGAGTGCTAAATTAGAGGGAGTTCTACTGATAGGAGAACAGAGAGGGCATATAGGGAATGGTTACAAAAGGGAAAAATAAACAGCTCCATCTGGTTTCAAACCAAATAAACCCCCTCCAACCCTATCCAAGGAAAAGGAGAACTGCCTTTCCACACAACATGCTCCACAAAAGAGCATGGTTTTGATATTTAGTTTCCCACGGTTACATCTTTTTTTTTTTTTTTTTTTTGGAACTAGAGATTGAATTCAGGGGCACTGGACCACTGAGCTACATCCCCAGACCTATTTAGAGACAGGGTCTTAGCGCCTCACCATGCTGAGGAGGCTGGCTTTGAACTCTCAATCCTCTGCCTCAGCTTTCGCAGCCCCTGGTATTAGGCATGTACCACCGCACTTGGCTCCATGGTTGCGTCTTGGTGGTCATTTCAATACAAAAATGAAAAAAAAAAATAGTATTTTATGGTATAGACAGAGGTACCTCAAGAAATGGCCTTCAGTACTATATCATACAGAAAATTCCTGTTTTAAGGACAGGGTTATTTCTGCTAGGGTAATTCAATTCAAATTGTTAATTTGGGGGAAGGGCTGCATGAAGGAGAGTCTTGTAGTCAGAGGCTTTGTTCTAATTTCTGGCTCTGTGGTTCTCATGCCCTGGGTTACCTTATGCAAGAAGTCATAATTTCTAAATCTTAGTTTCCTCATCTTCAAAATCAGACTAAAAACTGCTTAGCAGGTCTCTGTTAAGGAGAGATAAATTAAGTGGTTGGCACTCCATAATAGCTCTTTACCGAAATCCTACAAAATATAGATGTTTTTAGGCGCTGCTGAGATACAAGATGAAAGTGGCAGATGACAAAATTCCTGAGCGTTTTTTGTTCCTCACCTCTTCTCAATGAGGAAAACAAGGACAAGCGATTAAAACAGCCAAAATTCTAGATGCACATAAGAGTTTATAAAACATTTTCATGTGCGTTTCCTTATTTCAATGTCTGAACTTTACAGATAAGAAAACAAAATAAAATAAATGAGAAGCTAAAATAAATGAGAGGTAAAACTATAACCCAAGCATCCTAACAACCACCAAGGAGGCTTTTTCTCGGCCCCACTCTCTCCCTTGTTAGTGTTGGGGGCGCGCCTGTGTGTTTTGCTGGGAACTGAACTCAGGACCTCACACATGCTAGGCAAACGCTCTGAGCTACACCCCCGGCCCAGCGGCTGTTTCCAGATGAGATATTTTGTGGCCACCGACTCCACTCACCACCACCGCGCGACAGTGACTACGACTCTTTTGGCCAGCAGGCCGCACTGTGAAGCGCATTACTGTGGGTCGGTTCTGACCTCTGAACGTCGAAGGTCATTAAGTCATTCCTAAATAGGGCTCACTCTCATCCTTCTCTCTCGAGGCACCGCTCTCGTCTCTACCAGAGAATTCCATAGTTCCTAACCCCGCCGCGATCAGGTGGCGTCCCAGGGTTTTGCAGACGTTCTGCCTAGCTTTCCCACCCACAACACCTGCCCTCAATGCTCGCTGCAGTAGCCAGTGAGCAGAAGAATCAGCAGGCTCTCGCGGACAGCCCACCGCCTTGCTTTCATTGGGTAACCTCATCCTCTCCCCGCCCACCAGCCCCACCATCTTTTTTCTTTCTTTCTTTCTTCTTCTTCTCCCTCAATTATTGGACTTGAGGACTGTCTATCTCGACTCCCGGGCACCACCCTCTCTTCGCCACCCCCTAGACCCCAGGCCCCACTTCTTCCCAGTCACTGGCATTCCTAGCCCATCCATCCCCTGTCTAGGAAGAATGAGTGAATCTGGCGCCGACCGGAGCCTAGAAGGGACTGGCCCCTCCTCCAGCTCCAGCCCCACCCACCCGGCCCCTCTTCACCTCCCAGGCGCAGCACTCCCTCACTCAGCTCCCCCCACACCTTGTCTAGCTCGCAACGTCTCCACCCCCTCCCTACCAGCCAACGCTCAGACCTCCTGGGCTCTCGGGCAGAGCCGGCAGCGCGCCGGGGGCATGCGCTCCATGAGAGCTCTGCAGAATGCACTGAGCCGAGCTGGCAGTCGCTGCCAGCGGGGAGGCTGGGGTCACCTGAGCCGGAGCCCCTTCCTTGGCTGGGGCGTCCGACACCACCTCAGTGAGGCAGCGGCACAGGGCAGGGAGACGCCGCACAGCCACCAGCCACAGCACCAGGATCAGTAAGGCTCGCGGGACAGGGGCAGGGGACAGGCTTGCTCCCACTCCCACTGTCGTTCTCGCTAGCGCCCGAATCCCGGTCCCCAGGGAGCGCATCACATCTCCCCTCTTCTCGCTCACTAGCCTGCGATGCCTTTTCCTTTAGATTTGGGGATTTGGGTCCGCCGAGCTCGGGCGGTAACGTGCCGTCCGCCCGGGAGGGCGTTTGGGCAGGTCGGTCTTCGAGATGGTGCCTGTCCAAGGTGCGTACTTAAATGGGAATGCAGAATGGGCGCAGAGTGTTGCTTGGTGCACGTGTCACAGTGTGGGGCCGTGTGCAGGCCCGCCCATCCTCCCCTTCTTTTTCTCTCGGGTTCTCCTAGGTATTTTAGGGAATGTGTGGGTATAAACAGCCTCCTGTTTTAGGTCCAAGTGTACTTGGGTCTACGTGGAGTGTCTTATTTCTGCGCGTACTCGCAGGCAAAATGTGATGGGCGCTTATTATTGGTGCGCAAATACATGCGTATGTATTGGGTGTGTGCATAGCAGGGTCCCCTATCTGTAGAATAAGGATATCTTTCCAAACTATTGAATGAGGAGAATATTTATAATGGTGGGGGGAATCATGAGATGCAGAAATCAGAGCTAGTCAGAGCTGTTATTTATGCTGCTCAGGCTCCCTAATTTGAAGGATTCTTCTCCTTTGGGTACTTCTGCTTCCCACTCCCAGGTGGGACTTCTCTTCCTGGTCACCCAGAAATACTTGGTTGCTGAACCTTTTCCTTTTTTTCCTCTCTCTGAGACACAAATAATGCTGAATAAGAAATTTTTGCAAAAAAAGAAATTTTTGCCCACTTCAGAGGGTGAGCTAGACCCAGTCCAAGTAACCCCTACCCTATTATAGCTGTAACAGGAAATGGGCTCTCTGTTTTATCATTGACATCTAACTGATGATACTCAGAAACATATGTATACCGTAGTTAAAATAGCCATAAAAACAGCACTACCTCACCACCACTGAAGTTCCAGTCCTGAGAGGTAATAAATCAATAAGTATTTGAAGGGTACTGGGAGACCAATAACTATTGTTTACTATTTTTTAAATTTTTTTTTGGGGGGGGAAGGGTACTGGGGATTGAACTCCGAGGCACTGGACCACTGAGCCACATCCCCAACCCTATTATTCATTTTATTTAGAGACTGGTCTCACTGAGTTGCTTAGTGTCTCACCATTGCTGAGGCTGGCTTCAAACTTGCAATTCTCCCGTGTCAGTCTCCCCAGCCGCTGGGATTATAGACGTGTGTCACCAAGCCTGGCAATTGTTTACTATTAATAATCATTATTATGAACTACTTTTCGCAAAGAGACATGGAACATTTAAAGGATAAGACCACTCCTTCCTGTTCAATCTCCACCCTCCCCTCCTCCCAAATAACTATAGGAGAAGAGTGGTATGATAGAGCAAAGCCTATTATGCTTCCCCTTTAGAGTGGGAGCTAGAAGCATCCCTGGTTCCCCTACACACACACCAGCATCTAGTGAGTAGGGTAATAGAGTGTTTTTAGGGGACTAGTTTCTCCTGCCTGTGGCTGCTCCATCTCCAGGAAACCTCTTGGTAATGGCCTTGGACTGCTGCTCCCTGGGCAGAAGGGTTGGCAGCGCTGGAGGGTGATGGCCGCTGAGAGTGTGACACCATGAAGGGTAGGATTTTGACTTGGGGGTGAAAAGAAGTCTTGTTATTCGGGTTATTGTTTATTTTTAGAACCATGTAGCTTTATTGTATTTCTGATTTTTAAAAGAAAAACAAGAAGCCAAGTGTGTGATGTGCTTCTGTAATCCCAGCTACTTACTTAGTAGGCTGAGGTAGAAAGAATGAAAATGCAAGGCTAGCCTGGGCAACATAGTAAGACCCCATCTCAAAAAGAAAAGAAAGATAAAAAGAGTATCAAGAAAAAAAGGCTCACATGCACAAGGCCCTAAGTTCAATCCCCATCACCACCAAAAAGGAAAGAAAAGCAAGCTGAGAAGTAGATTTGGGCTGGGATTGTGGCTCAGTAGTGGAGTGCTCGCCTAGCACATGCGAGGCCCTAGGTTCAATCCTCAGCACCACATAAAAATAAATAAAATAAAGATATTGTGTCCAACCACAACAAAAAATAAATATTAAAAAAAAGAAAGAAAGAAAGGGATGGCTGGGGATATAGCTCAGTTGGTAGCCTGACTAGGCCCTGGGTTCAATCCCCAGCACCACCAAAAAAATATTGTGATATTTCCATATATATCTAATATATAACAAAAATTAGATCATATTCATATCCTTTGGTAACCTACTTTTCTATTTTTGAACAGCTTTCAATATGTGTATATGACATCAATTTTAATAGCTGCCATTTTACCATTTTAAAAGATTCCATGATATGAGTTGCCACAACTTTTTTTTTTTTTTTGTATTGCTAGGAATCAAATCCAAGGCCTTAAACATTCTAGGCATGCACTGTATCACTGAACCACATTCCCAGCACCATTACCATAACTTACTTAATCAATCTTCAGTTTGGTTACTATAGACTCTTTTGTGTACTTTCAACAATAATTTCACTATATTTTTCTTTTCTTCTTCTGATACAGGGGTTGAACCCAGGGGCATTCTACCTCTGAGCCACATCCCCAGCCCTTTTTTTTTTTTTTAATATTTATTTATTTATTTTTAGTTCTCGGCAGACACAACATCTTTGTTGGTATGTGGTGCTGAGGATCGAACCCGGGGCCGCATGCATGCCAGGCGAGCGCGCCACCGCTTGAGCCACATCCCCAGCCCCCTAGCCCTTTTTTTAAGATATTTTGAGACAGAGTCTTGCTAGGTTGCTGAGGTTTACTTTGAACTCATGATCCTCATGCCTCAGCCTCCTAAGTCACTGGGATTAAAGGTGTGTGCACCATGCCTGGTTCACAATTATTTCTTTGTTAAATATTTTATTAATTGTTGATGGACCTTTATTTTACTTATTTATATGCGATGCTGAGAATCAAACCCAGGGCCTCACACATGTGAGGCAAGAGCTTTACCACTGAGCCACAACCCCAGCACCTCACAATTATTTCTTTTTCTAAAAATATTTTTTAGTGTTGATGGACCTTTATTTTATTCATTTATTTATATACGGTGCTGAGAATTGAACCCAGTGCCTCACACATGAGAGGCAAGCACTCTACCACTGAGCCACAACCCAAGCCCCTCACAATTATTTATTTTTTTTAATATTTATTTTTTAGGTGTAGATGGACACAACACAATGCCTTTATTTTTATGTGGTGCTGAGAATCGAACCCGGGTCCCCCCCATGCTAGGCAAGCGCTCTACCGCTGAGCCACAATCCCAGCCCACAATTATTTCTTAAGAGTAAATTCCTAGGAAATTTTGTTCCCGAAACATCTGATGACACTAATATCTTCTATAGTCTTTTGGAGATATTTTAATGCATATAATACATGTTAATATTATCTTTTTAATAAATGATATTATACTGTACACATTATTCTATACCTTTTTTCCCTTCAACATTATATTGGTGATCAGTCTATATCTAAATCAAAAGGCATGCAATTTTTTAGCGTCATATGGTGATACACGCCTGTAATCCCAGTGGCTCAGGAGGCTGAGACAGGAGGATCTCGAGTTCAAAGCCACCCTCAGCAAAAGTGAGGCACTAAGCAACTCAGTGAGACCCTGTCTCTAAATAAATCAAAACAGGCCTGAGGATGTGGCTTAGTGGCTGATTGCTCCCGAATTCAATCCCCAGTACCGCCCCCCCAAAAAATATGCAATTTTTTAAAGAATTTTGAGACATTCAGAAATGATGTGGCATTATTTCCTATCTATCAGCTTTCAGGCACAGAGACCTGCTTTCAAGGTGTTCCTACAAAGGCTGGGAATGTAGCTCAGTGGTAGAGCACTTTTCTAGCATGCCTGAGGCCTTGGGATCAATCTCCCGTACTGCAAAACATAAAACAAAATAACCAAACATCCCTACAAACTTTCCTCTTTTAGTTATCCCTCATATGGCTTCCCCACCCCTTTCCTACAGATACTAGCATTGTGACGGTTTCCTCCAAAATTGGATCCCTTCCCCTTCTGGTGTTCCTCCTGGTCCGAAACGCACACATGCCTACTCTATGCCAAGCTTCTTGAGAATCTTTAGTTTTTTAGTGTCTTATTTCATGGACAATATAGTTATATGGTTCAAAATTCAAAAGTATAGACGATACTATAGTGAAAAGCATCCCTCCCACCCTGTTTTCGTAGCCCCAACTGCTTCTCCTAGAGATGAGTTTTACCTGTTTCTTATATGTCCTGCCAGAAATATGTTGTACTGGAATAAGGAAACACATATTTTTAAACATCAATAGTTTCATTCTGCATACTCTGTTCTGAAACAAGCTTCTTTAGTTAATATTACATCTTAGAGATCAGTACTCAAAGCAGTCCCTAATTTCATTTTATTTACAGGGCATAACATCTCATTATATGAATAAACTCATAATTTACCTATTTCCCTACTAATGCACAGTTGTTTTAAATCTTTTTAATTATGCAATGAATATGTAACTTTATAGATAAGTGAATGTATTCCTGGAAACCAAGTTATTGGGTCAAAGGGCTTTGAAGGGTCTAAATCTCAACTGTCGTATTTGATTTGATATCATTCCTCTAAATCTGTTAATAGAGGAACTCTTGAAGATCAAGAAGTCTTTGGTGTCTAAAGAATTTTTGGGGGGCTGGGGATGTGGCTCAAGCGGTAGCGCGCTCGCCTGGTATGCGTGCGGCCCGGGTTCGATCCTCAGCACCACATACCAACAAAGATGTTGTGTCCGCCGAGAACTGAAAAATAAATATTAAAAATTCTCTCTCTCTCTCCTCTCTCACTCTCTCTTTAAAAAAAAAAAAAGAATTTTTGGTGCCATAACCATTGAGAGAGAGATTTGGGAGGTACAGGGACCTTCCTAATTATGTAACATGGTAATTCTTATCAAAGACCCACTTTGCTCAAAGATACGAAGACAAAAACCTAGTTGAACAAGGGAAGAATCCTCCGACAGTAAAATGGTTTATGTGCCACCCCAGCAACAACATAAGTAAAATCTGGAGGGTTGGGGAGATATTACAGAGTTGGTGGCATTTGAACTGGACCTTGAAGGATGGACAGGACTATGCTAATTAAAGGAGAAGAAGGTCATTCCATGCAGAAATCACAGCATACATAAAGTCCAGGAAACCTCACAGTCCCTGGCCCATTTGGGGAACCATCTATTAACTTCTCATAATGAATGTGGGAGAATGGTGGGGAATAGCAAAAGAAAGGTGGCAGGTTTTTTGGTGCTGGGGATTGAACCTAGGGGTACTTTACCACTGAGCTACATCCCCAGTGTCTCACTAATTTTGTTTTTTAAAGAGAGAGTGAGAGAAAATTTTTTTAATATTTATTTTTTAGTTTTTGGTGGACACATCATCTTTATTTTTATTTTTATGTGGTGCTGAGGATCGAACCCAGCGCCCTGCGCATGCCAGGCGAGTGTGCTACCTCCTGAGCCACCTCCCCAACCCCATGTCTCACTAATTTGCTTAGGCTGACTTCCAACTTGCAGCCCTTCTGCCTCAGCCTCCTGAGTGGCTGGGATTACAGGCATACACTACCTGCACCCAGCAAGTTAGCAGGTTCTAAGGAGCCTTGAATGCCAAACCAAGAAATAACTTCTTCTGTAAGCACTAGGGAGCCATCACAAAGTTTTTGAGTTATTCTGAGTTTAAGAAAATAGGTAGCACATTGCAGAAGATAGTTGGGGAGTCAAGAGTGTATAGTGGCAATTAGGTAACAGACAACAAGGAGCTATTGAGTTCTGATTTACTGAGCATCTACTTTGTGTTAAGACAGTTTTTCATGGAATATGATCTTAATTTAGGCTCATATTACCCATGTGAAGTAGACATTACCACTCTTATTTTATAGACTAGGAAGCAGGTTCAACAATATTATGTGATCTGCCCAACATCACACAGCTATTAAGGAGCAACCTTCGATCCTTTCTACTATACCATATTGCTTGGGGGGAAAGAAGAGGACAGATTTGAGAGGTATTACAGAGGTAGATTCATCCAGTTTTAGTGGCCAACCAAACATGGACTTAAGGTATGGGAACTACCAAAATTGTTCTGCATTTCCAGCCTAGCACCCAGGTGGTAGTAATTTTATGTGACCCAGATGGGAAACACGAGAAGAGGCGGGAAGGTAAGATGACTTAGGTTTGGACATGCTGAGTTTTCAGTGCCTATGGTCTAGAAGTGTCAAGTAGGCGAGTAGAAATAAAGATCTTAGTTATGAGTAAAAGCTAGAAAGTGAGAGGTACACTTCTCAGGACAGATCAGATGGTTTAGGGAAGAGACACAGAATGAGGACACTCACCTAATGATCAGCCCATGTTCAAGGAGGAGGAGCAAGGAGTGATTCTCAGGCTCCTGCCCTCCTCCCCTGTCTCTGCCCCCAAACAGTGATGCATCAGAGTGTGGCATGCTGTCCCGCCTGGGTGATCTGCTCTTCTACACTATTGCTGAGGGACAGGAACGAATCCCCATCCACAAGTTCACTAGTGTAAGTTGCCCGCTACCTGTTCTGAACCCTAATCCTTAGATCTATGGAAAGTGGGAAAAGGAGGGTAGGACAGATACAGGACACCTAATGGTTACTGCATGAGGTTAGAGAATGCAGGTGGGTAATAACAGATGCCTAAGCTAAGGAGACAATCCCATCTCTGCCCCAGGGCCAGATTAAACACAACTAGCTGAAAAGGGGCAGGAATCCCTTGTTAACCTTCAAAGCTGCTTCATTCCCTTTTAATTTCCAAATCCACTTGTCCTACCTTTTGTTGTAATTGGGATTGAGGTAACTGAGTATCTATTGGGAAAGACTATTAGGATTAAAATACTATTCTTTGAGCTAAATTTACCAGGCCTCTTCTTTCCCTAAAGGCACTGAAGGCCACCGGACTGCAGACATCAGATCCCCGGCTCCGGGACTGCATGAGTCAGATGCACCACATGGTCCAAGAGTCTAGCAGTGGTGGCCTCTTGGACCGAAATCTCTTCCAAAAGTGAGGGCCCCAGAAATGAGGGCATTATTTTCAAAACTGTTCTGTGGACACAGATATCAGAGCATATAGAAATCTTGGGGATTATATAATTCAACACTTCATTTTGTTTTATTATTCATCACACAAGTAATATATGAATACTCATTATGAATTCTGAACAATATAGAAATATTTGTTCTCAGTTCCCTTTTCTCCCAGTCCTAGCCCCTTTTCCTGGAAGTAAACATTGTTAACAGATTAGTGGATATCTTTTAGATAATATCCTATGTAGTCACACATATATATGAATATACATAAATATAAGACTTAGGATTTCTAAAATATAAAAATGACATACTATACTTATTCTAGTAATTATTTTTTTCTTATATCTCAAGACATTATGTCTTGAGGTATCTTTCCATGTTATTACTATTGTTCATTTTAGGGGTGAAGAAACTCAAAACCAAAATGATAAAGTGACTTGCCAAAGCTGTTGGTCTAAAACCACATGACCACTCACAACCTTCTTTATTCCCAACCTCCATGGCTCCAGAGTGAGTCCCTGCTGTATGTCTGCAGCCCCCTAATGCAATCGTGTCTGGGATCCAGGTGTGTGAGCAGCAACATTGTGCTCCTGACCCAGGCATTCCGAAAGAAGTTTGTCATTCCCGATTTTGAGGAGTTCACGGGCCATGTGGATCGCATCTTTGAGGATGCCAAAGAGCTCACAGGAGGCAAAGTGAGGGCTGGGGGGGGGGATAAGGGAGGGGCAAGGGCTCTGGGCCAGATATATCTTAATTCTTAGAGACTTCCTGGGGCTGGGAATCCAATGGATGCGAAATGAGAAGCAGAACCTCTAAAAATGTGGAAATAGCTCCATGTGTTTCTAAACAGGTTCCTAGAGCAAGCGAGGGAATCCTAGTTTTCTTAGGAGATTGTGGCATAGTGAATTGTCAGAGACTTATAGTAATTGAATCTAAAAATCAAAACAGGAAGCTGACCCCAGAATTCTCCTTTTTAACCTTCCATGAACTTTATTGCCATCACTACAGGACAGAGGCTACAGATAGATAAGATCCCCTAGGACTTAAGGCTTGGAGTTTCTGGGAACAACAAATAGAAGGGAATTCATTTGCCATGCTGGAGTCAGAATTTAGCTTTTTATCAAAAAAACTCTCCTAATCCTGAACTCCATACTCTTCTCCACATCCATCTTTCTCCCTTTTCTCTACCCACTCCTGCCCAGGTGGCGGCCTACATCCCTCACCTGGCCAAGTCAAACCCAGACCTGTGGGGTGTCTCCCTATGTACTGTGGATGGACAACGGTGAGATGCTGGGTGAGAGGAAGGGGAGGAAGGGCACAGGTACAGAACAAAGGCCAACCCCTTTCATTGTACCTGTCTGCCTCCAGGCACTCTGTGGGCCACACAAAGATCCCCTTCTGCCTGCAGTCTTGCGTGAAGCCCCTCACCTATGCCATCTCCATAAGCACCCTAGGCACTGACTACGTGCATAAGTTTGTGGGCAAGGAGCCCAGCGGCCTGCGCTACAACAAACTCTCCCTCAATGAGGAAGGTGAGCACCCCCAGAGCTCAGACCAAACTCTTGCTCCTTCCCCCAAGCCTTTTTCATTTGTTTCTTTGCCTTTCCTCCCATCCAACTACTAACCAGGCCTAACCCTGCTTAGCTTGTGAGATCAGAGACGATCAAGCGTGATCAGAGTGGTACGGCTGTAAACACTGCTTTTCCTGATTAGCCCTGATATTCCTTTTACCCCAGCAAAGAAATCTTTCTTATTTAACCTACAGAGAGGGCAGGCTGTAAAGGAGTCTTTGTTCAGTGACTGATAAGACCCTGCACAATTTGTATTTCCCCAGGAATTCCTCATAATCCCATGGTCAATGCTGGTGCCATTGTTGTCAGCTCCCTGATCAAGGTCAGTGACACACTAACTTTCTGAAAGGTACTCTTCTCTAAGCCCCCTTATTCCTATATCCCTCCTATCTGTTAAGCTCTCCAGGGAGGCCAGTGGGATACTGATTCCTTTGAGGGTTCCCAGGAGGCTTTGTATGAGCGTAACAGGGATCCGTGTGTTATGCTGAGGATGCCAGTAAGAGAGGCTGCATCACCTCCTCCACCTTCACCCTATATCATTCCCTCCCCCCACCTATGAGTAGAATCTAGAGCTTCCAGGCCCTTGGAGGAGTGAGCAGATCCTGACCCCTGCCTAGGATCAAGGGCCAAATGCCAGAGACAGGGGGAGGACAGCATTATTAGGCACCGATTGGCCACTTCTGGGTGAGGGAAACATGCAAAGAAGGGTGAATGGCCAGGCCAGGGCAGTTATTCACGTCACCTAGAACTGTGAGTTGGCCTTGAGCAAGGGTGTCAGGCAAGCCCATCAGCTGTAGGTCTCCCAGCGCTTAAGCAAGAACTTGGGAGCAGCGTGGGCAGAAACATTCTGAAGCCAATCACAGTCCTTCCTGGGGAAGGTGGTGTTAATAACCCTTCCCCCAGCAATTCAGGTGTCAGAGTCCCTGTGGTGTTGACTCTAGCTGACGTGTGCATGAAGCAGTGAGTCTGAGGGTAGGAAATCAGGCCAAGTCTCTATCCCTATTCTGTGATGGTTCTATCTACAGCCCTGTCTCTGGGACCTGCTTCATCCCATTCCCATCTAAGTTGGCCATATTGATCCTGACTCAACTAAAATCTTTAGCTTCAGGGTTAGGGATGTAGCTCCATGGCACAGCACTTGCAAAGACCCTGAGTTTGATCCTAGCACCACCAAAAGGGGAAAAAAAAATCTTTAGCTTTGTTGTCAGCTGTCAATATGGTTGGATATAATATATGCAACAGATACACTCATCCGATTTCTGTCACTCCGTTCAGTCTTGGGATTGGCATGGGAGTCAGAATGAGCTAAATTAAGATTCTAGCATGGTATATTAAGGGATGGGAATCAGGGCTGGGTGCAGTGGCACACTCCTGAAACCCCAGCAGCTCAGGAGCTGAGGCAGAAGAATTACAAGTTCAAAGCTAGCCTCAGCAATTCAACAAGGCCCTAAGCAAGTTAGTGAGACCCTGTCTCTAAATAAAATACAAAAAGGGATGGGGATATGGCTCAGTAGCTAAGTGCCCCCTGGGTTCAATCCCTGGTATTAAAAAAAAAAAAAGATGAGAATGAGAGGAGTAGAACTTGGAGACAGGACTGGAGGTAAGAAAATAAAAGTGGGAGTCAGAGATAAGGGCTCAGAGAGACAATGAAAGTGGGAGGACTCAGGCTTACTGAGCATGTGAAGTTATCTGTACCTTTGTGCCTTAATAAAAATCTAAATTGTTTGTTTTTTAAGATCAATATATAGGGGTTGGGGATATAGCTCAGCTGATAGAGTGCCTTGCATGCACAAGGCCCTGGGTTCAATCCCCAGCACCACACACACACATACACACACAAAAAAAATCAGTACACACACCCCAAAAAAGGTCTCAGTTGTTTAAAAAGGAAAGAAGTTTGCCAGGGCATGGCGGCATGTGCCCACAGACTCAGTTATTCAGGAAGCTAAGGTAGGAGGATCATTTGATCCTATAAGTTTGAGACCAGCATGGGTAACACAATGAAATCCTGTCTTTGAGACACAAAGAAAAAGGTGTAGCAAGACTAGTCTAACATTTTTTAACTCTACTAAGTGCTTGACCTTTTCCTTTGTCATTGTCCTTGGCTTGAGACACTGACATCTCTTTCTTTCTCTGTAGATGGACTGTAACAAAGCAGAGAAGTTTGATTTTGTAAGTTCCCTTGCTACTCAGCTCCTAGCTGCCTTTCACCATGTCATGCTGACCCCTCCAGCTGCCCCAAGTACTTGGCTGTAGACCCAGTATCAGGTGCACCCATACTAGAAGGCTTATTTCCAGAGAAGTGGGCATCTGCTGCTTCAGGGAGGAAATCCTCTTGAAGTCCCTGTCCTCTCAGGCAAAGCTGGGATAAGGGCTGAGTGGTTCAGAAGGACTGTTCAGCCTGGGATGTGTTTAGTAGGAGTTCTCGGTCAGGTGAGCCTCTCTTGCCCCTCTTCTCTTCTAGGTGTTGCAATATCTGAACAAAATGGCTGGAAATGAATTCATGGGTTTCAGCAATGCCACGTAAGGCCTTGTTCAAAACTATCTGAACACATTGGGTGGTGTGTGTACACATGGGATTGGGGGAGGGATGAGAGGATCTTAGGAAGGAATTCCATAGGAACTTTGGCCTCCTAGCTTCCTCTGAGCCCCTTCATTGACATTTGTTTACTTTGTGAAATAATTTGTTCAATTTCTAGTTAATATGTAAGGAGAGGTAGCATGATGGTTTGTGTCTAAGGCCTTGCCAAGACCTCAAAGCCAGAGTCTCACCAGTGTTCTTAAGACTAGATGAATAGACAACTTTAGGGGTTGTTTTTTGTTTTTTACAACAAAGCTATGCTGAGTATTTGCTTAGGTTCAGAAATGTCCTCTAATATTACTGTGAAAAGTTATAAAGGCACTGATGTAGTTCTGTGTCTCTCAGGGAAGGCAATTTTTCCCCTTCTCCCCATACCTACCTCTCAAATATTAAGCACTAAATTGGGTGTTTGCTTCAGATTCCAGTCAGAGAAGGAAACAGGGGATCGGAATTATGCCATCGGCTATTATCTCAAGGAAAAGAAGGTAACTGGGAAGGCCAGTAGAGTTTCTGGGAATTCTGCTGCTGGTGGAAGGATAGTAGGGGTTGGGAAATTTGGCTGAGACCCTGGAGTGAGAAAGGGGCTGTCAATGGCCTGAAGAGAATGTTTTCCCTCTTCTTCCTTGCAGTGCTTTCCTAAGGGGGTGGACATGATGGCTGCCCTTGATCTCTACTTTCAGGTAAGCAAACCCTGAGGGCCAAGGAAACAGGACAGACTGCCTTCCTTCTCTTACTCACATGGTTCTGTCAGGAATATTAAGCAATTTGTTAAAGATCTGGATGCTAAGAACACTGTTCTATTCCCAAAAGCACCATGTTCACATCCACATTACATCTTCACTTCTCCCTTGTCTCCACAGCTGTGCTCTGTGGAGGTCACCTGTGAATCAGGCAGTGTCATGGCAGCCACCCTTGCCAATGGTGGAATCTGTCCCATCACAGGCGAGAGCGTTCTGAGTGCTGAAGCAGTGCGCAACACCCTCAGCCTCATGCATTCCTGTGGCATGTATGACTTCTCGGGCCAGTTTGCCTTCCATGTGAGTGTTTTGGGCCCTGCCATCTATCAGTGGTGAGCCCTGTGCCAAAACAGGACACTGGTCTCTGAAAATAGAGAGATGGAAGTTTGTTCCTGCTTCTTATTCACAAATCTCCAGCTAGGCTGTTAGGCTGAGAATCCTCACAGGAGGTTGTCAGACACAGTTCCTCAAATACAAACACATGAAGGTGCACCTTCTGAATCACTCTTGTGCAACCCTTCCTGTGGCTGTCTTCTGGGTCTCAGCTTCTGTGTCACTTCTCAGGAGAGGCCTTTTTTTTTTTTTTCCTTCAGTGCTAGAGACTGAACCCAAGACCTCCCCCATGCAAGCAAGCTCTACCAGTGAACTACATTCCCAGCCAGGAGGCTTTTCTAACTTCCCTATCTCAGATGGGTCCACCTACAACGCTGGTCACAGCACCTTCCTTTTCTTCTCAGTTTGTAGTAATTATTTATTGTTGCCTGTTTATTGCTTACCTTCTACCACCAGAATGTGACTTTACCCTAGTTCTAGCTAGCAGAGTGCTAATATTTCAATTAACATTTCCTAACTTTATCAATGAATTAATTAAATAAATATTAAGTACATAGTAATTAATATTTTTGAATTAAACAATGTTTATTTAATGGTAGCCACTTTAAGTAAATAAAGCAATTTTGAGCTCCTACCAAGCGCAAGGAATAAGTAAGAAAAGTCTGAAAGGTTGAGGTGGTTGTGGCTTTGCCCATGCAGTCACTTAGAATAGCCTACCTTGTTTGTTTTCCTAGATTTGGGGGACCCCAAGCTCATCCTCAGCTTCAAATTTGTTCCCCAGGTGGGCCTGCCAGCCAAATCAGCTGTGTCAGGAGCCATCCTCCTGGTGGTTCCCAATGTCATGGGAATGATGTGTCTGTCACCTCCACTGGACAAGCTGGGGAACAGTCATAGAGGCATCAACTTTTGCCAGGTGAGTTATTCTGCACATAGTACATATATATATATATATATATATATATATATATAT